AATCAAGCAATGTTATTGGGCACGTTCAGAAGGCGCAACAGCTCAGTAACTGTTGCGATTGCACCTTCTGAACGCGTTGTTTTGCACTTCTGATCAACTGAACAGTTGCGTGGTAGATAATCGTAATATTTTTATGATCATTTGAGACAACATGTTGTGTGTTTTGAATTTGACAGCTAATGTATCAAGCCGTTCAGAAGGCGCATTATGATCACTGATTTTATTTAGCAACGGTTGCGCTCAACTCCTGCGCCTTCTGAACCTACCCATTGTATCGTCATCGCCGCCAGTCACCAAGAAATTTCCACCTGGGTGAAATGCAACATCATTCTCCGGCGACGAATGCACTGGATACAACTGTATTAGCTCGCCTTCGGCTATGTCAAATATCTTAACGCGGTTACAACTTTATGCTAAAGCCACCAAATTACCATCTGGATGCCATGCCAGCTGTCGTCACCTCTTCCCCGGGTGAACGTTCGCACACATTCGCCTGATTGTAATATGATTGTTTCTAATGTCGAAATCAAAAGGAAATTTTATAAATAGCATTTTTAAAAAACAATCATCTAATATTTTCCAAGTTTTTGGGCATATATGTTACCATTTGAACAACAAATAGCACTAAGTTTTATGGACTATTTAATGCAACTCATGTCAAAAAGGCACAGTTTTGACCAAAATAAGGAACTCTAAAAATCAGACGATCGCAGCTGTGGCCCAGGATGACGTCTATTACTAAGATATCTCACTTGTATTTGTATACAATGCTCCTGATGTTTCCACTCGTTACAATTATAACGTGTTGTCTCTTCTTATATACTACGTCTATACGAACGTCTTATTTGCAAATAACAATTTGCAAAATGGTAAACTTTGCCGAATAAAGGGTGGGCTTTAGATTGGTAACCCCGAAGTACAGCATTAAGGAAAATATGGGAGGTAGAGGGGGGGTCTAATAGTTCCCTGTATGAAGTTTCAAAGCGCGCAACCTTCTACTTTTTAAGGAATTTGTTATTAAACTTTGTAATTTTAACCAACTTGTATGGCACTATTTTACAATATATGATGCACTTTCCACTAAATTTACAGGTTATTTACACTCAATATATGCGCAGTTAGAATGTGCACGTTCAAACAAATAAATACTTTTAGTATATTACAGCTTTTTTTATCAAAAATTGATTGTTGTTTAATTTTATGAGAGTACATGCAGAATATGTGCAAATGGCAGCAGGACTGTGTTGCCATATCTAAAAAACCAAGAGAGTCAGGCTAAAAGGGGTGTACAAAATACATTAAAAGCATTATATATATTCGTAATGAGAGTCGGAGTACATGAAATTTGAATACGATATTCTTCCCCCTTCATGCTGGCTCTTGATGTTACCCCTTATCTACCACCTAAATGTGTCAAGCCGACTCCTAAGTGAGAAAGGCTCCTGGGAGCCACTGTGCCCATCTCTGGTCTAAAGGACGTTCAACAGAAACATTTTAGTGGTATTCACCAAGGTGAGCAAGTGGCCTGGCAGTTGACAAGTCTCGTTGCTAGATCTGATCGACTCTTTTGCCAGAGTGCTAGGCCACTTGCTCAATTTGGTAAATACCACTAATGTTTTCCAGACTTGTCCCACTAACTTACTACAGATGGTTGGTGCTTTTCTGCAAAATTAGATGCCAGTGTGACGATTTTGGTATCTCTCCAAGCGGGAACAGCTACGCCAACCGCATTGCAGTTACCGACGTATTCTATTGACATTTCTCGTGGTTATTGTTTACTTTCTCATCTGGAAGCTTGCAGCTGGAAATACGGGTTTTTCTTAGAGTTTCTAAAGCCAAAATGCCGCGACTGCACAAGTACTCAATGAGCGGGATCGAAGTGCCGTAATTATCGGAAAACAGCCGGTAGTTCTGATAGGTCAGCACATCACATATTAGTCATAGGCACACGATAAAACGTATTTTTAGGTGCTGCGGAACTATGTAGTACTAGGAGAATCGGACACCAGATTTAGATCCGTTTCAGTACTAATGATCTGAGCACTGGTGGATGTAGTTTCTGAGGTGCTGGTATACTGTACATAATTTTCCAAGGTGAAACCTCTAGGTCCTCATCAGAACTGTCATGCTCATTCGGGTCGAGGTAATACGTTGGATCGGCGACATCGTCGTCAGAAGAAAAGTCAAGGCCATTTTCACTATCTTCCCATTCTACTAGTATAATTTCCAGGCCCTGAGCAGTGAAATTATGCAATGAACGACTCATTATGATCCCCAAAAAGAAGCATTCAAATTCAAAAGTAACACTAAGAATGTATACCAGAATGCGCAATGTTGCATCTATGCAACAAAAAAAAAAAACAGTAAAAAAAAAATAAAAAGAAACGGCTCTGCTAAAAAAAAAATTTTGACTATTGAAATACATCCTCTTATCTTTAACTCACACCAATTTCAACAACGAAATATCTGTATTTCAGGAATAAATCGTTTATCGTAAACGAATTCTAAGGGCGCGAAACTGGTGTGTGCTCACACGCCGCTTCAATGAAACACAAACATAAATTTAGCCACCCTGTCAGCTGGTTTGTTTCTAATGCAGCATTTTTGCTGCATTTAAAATGCAACATTTAGCACTTTCGAACATATGTTTTCGAAAAGCGTTCATGCTATCGCATTTAGCAAATGTACGAGTTCGAAATCGTATGCTTTTGACAAAGAGACGTGTTCCAGGCGCTTATTCAGATCCGTATCTATTACGATAAAATCTCACGGAAAAGATAATGTGCAAAAATCCCTACTGAAAAGGAAAAAATAAATTCTAAACCGAAAATTCAATACAAAAACTTGAATTGTTTTAACCATAACCAAACATGTTTGTGTATATATTCATTTGTCGGTGCTGTCAATTAAAATTTCCTCACTTAATTAGGAAACAAAACAAACAGAGTTGATCACAAATTAATCCAGATTTCTAACAGCATCATATCGATGTTGAATTTGCGTAACTTGTCTTTATCCAAATAATGTAAAATAATAAATGAAATCTCGATCGGCGATCACTGAAACGCAGCTAGCGACTGTATACTCGAAAAAGCAATGTTGCCACTTTTTCTCATTAAACCATGTTCGAATCGTGAAAATTTTGGAAGATCACAGGGTTGCATTTAGCATTTAGATTATAAATGCAAAAATGCAGTGGCATTTAGTTGCATTTAGGTGACGAATTTTGTATGGATAAATGTACATTTAGGGCCGGTTACTCAATGTCTGGTTAACACTAATCTGCGGTTAAATATCGTTATCGACGTCTTCGGCTCCATACATATAACATTGTGTCAGTAACGTCGATAACGATGTTTTACCTGTAGTTAGTGTTAACCAGACATTGAGTAACCGGCCCCTAGTTCAGCGTTTAGAGCTAAATGCGCTAAATGTGCTTTCACGCGTAAGCAAAAACAGCCCATTACCCGTTAGAATGCTTTGTTGCTGATGTACAACACTGCGTATAGTCAGTCTAACGGCAATGTCTATAATTTTGCTTCTCTTTGAATGGTATGTTGCAGAAGTACAACACGGCGCCATAAAGGGTTAATTCCGTACTCGGGGGTTACCATTCTAAAATTTTCCCCGTATAAACGCGGAGTTAATTTTTTATTTGCAAATAACTAAATCACGCGATTAGTGATACTATTTGCAAATAAGCGCAAGACGCCGCCATTCTAAGGTTTATTTTCTTTTTCAATGTTCAGCTTATTGCCTTTTTATAATCAAGACGTTGCCATTTTTAATTTTATTTTCTTTTTCGATGGTCATACTATTGCCTTTTTATAATCAGGCAATATTAAATAAAAATTTTTCACAGTCGAATAAACAGTAGTGGTATTCATCTAAACCGATAACTTTATCAAGCAGATAATCTTATAAGTTTATGCACTCTGTTACATGAACGACCCACACTCTCTTTTTCGTTTACACATTCGNGCAGAATGTCTGGTTGTGTATGAATTCATTTATCACGGCTACCAAACTTTGCGAATTATCAGTGAAACAAAACAAACAGACGGGATAATAATTGAACCAGATCTCTATCAGGATCATATCGTTGTTGAATTTGCGTGCAAAATTTGTATGCGGATCCCGATTATTGCCTAAGAAAACATAGCTAGAGTTGCGACAGAGTTGCATTGTCTTCAGTTTATCAAGTTTATTCAGTGAAATCGCTGGATAAATTTATCAGAAATGTGTAAAGAGTTTCCATACAAATTTTGACAGTTCATTTATAAGGTTTACACAATTATAAGTTTATACAGTTTACAATGCATTTATAAGGTTTGATGAATACCCTTAGTGAGTTAGGTATTTGCAAATTATCTTTATTTGCAAATAGCTTACGTATAAACGTGGTAATAGATTTATACCATGTTCTGACCGACATCGAAAACATGTTTTCGCTGGTAAAACTGGTTTTCGACCTAAAACCTGTGTTTTCGTCCATGTAAAATCTGTCAAACGAAAACTAGTTTTCGCTGAAAACCACTTGAAAACTCACGTTCCATTCATTCCAATCGGTGTCTGCACTAGTTTTTTTGATTATTTATCGAAGTGGAAGACATATTTTATCATCTTTAATGCGTCATTTCGGATTTATTCTTAATTGGCCGGCCAAAATAAAGTAAGCATGGAAGTAAAAGGTTGTTAATGAAAAGAAATTGAAGGAAAAGTATTTTGGTTTCGTTTTTGTGTAGCAAAACTGTAAATAAAGAATGAAAGAAATATCAACGAAAACACCAACAGTCGGTGTGAACAGCCTTCAGCTCACAATCCCAAAACTCGTTTTCAAGGTGTTTTCGTTGTCGGTCAGAACATGGTATTACGTTCTTTGTGCAATATCAGAAAATCTAGCTCTCAGAATCGATTTTCTATCGATTCCGAAAATTTAGTATCGATTCTCTAAAATCGATTATTTTGAGAAAATCTTCTATTCCGGAGTGGAATCGGAATCGATACTAGTATTTCATCTGCCAAACTACTCAATTCACAAAAACGGTACCTATATCAATGTTGTGATGAAACCTGTGAAAGGGAATGTAATCCTATGTTATCAATCTGAGACATTCTATTCAGCATGCCGTTTCGAAATAAATTGGATGGACGGAGACAAAGTTTATACAAAGTGTTAACTAATGATCAGCCAGTATGCGTGACTTTACCGTGGTACAAAAGCAATGCGATAAGAAAGATCTTCCTAATATTTGTTGCTATTTGTTTGCTTGTGTATGTTCTTTGGGATACTTTTACTCTAAACATTAAACATCCTTCCGAAAGCGTTTTGTCAGGTAAATATTTGTACATTTGCACTAAAGGGGGGTCTATGTAAAGTTTGAAATCGCGGAACCTTATCGTTTTAAAGTAATTCGTTATTAAAGTTAGTAATTTTAACCAACTTGTATGGGACTATTTTACAATATATAAAGCACTTTCCACTAAATTTACACGTTATTTACACTCGATATATGTGCAGTTAGAGTGTGCACGATCAAACAAATAAATACTTTTAGTATATTACAGCTTTTTATGAAAAATTGATAGTTGTTTAATTATTATGAGAGTACATACAGAATATGTGCAAATAGCAGTAGGGCTGTGGTGCCACCATGATGCAATATTAGTTGCGTTCCAGCAGCAGCACAAATAGCAGGTTTTGCAGGATTTTACAGGGACAGCTGTTTTCGCCATTAAACCTTATTGTGGCGAATACTGCGGCAACACAAAGCGAACAACGAGAAATAGGCAGAATGTTCGAGGAATGACGTAGAATGTTCCACAAAGAGAAACGTCAAGTTGGATGAACACTGCGAACAGCGAGA